TCGGATATTGTCAGTAGGGCTGCAGTGCACATGAGAGTGCTAATATCTCTTCAAGATCCTGTTTTCAATTCCTTTGGATAAATACTTAGAAGTGGAAATGCTGGATCATATGCTATTTCTATTTTTAATTTTTGAGGAACCTCCATACTGTTCTCTTTAGCAGCTGCATAATTTTGCATTCCCATTAACAATGTAAAAGGATTCCCTTTTTTTCACATCCTCACTAATACTTGTCATTTGTTTTTTTGAAAATAGCCATCCTAACAGGTGTGAGATAATATATCATAATGGTTTTGATTTGCATTTCACTGATGATTAATGATATTGAGTGTTTTTTCATATACCTGTTGGCCATTTGTATATCTTCATAGGATAAATAGCTGTTCAATTCTTTGCCCATTTTTTAATTGTTATTAGTTTTTTGCTAGAGTAATATGAGTTCATTATATATTTTGGATATAACCCCTTATCGGATATATGGGGTATTTTCTCCCATTCCATAGGTTGCTGTTTACCCTTTCGGTGTTTCCTTTGCTATACAGAAGCTTTTTACTTTGATGTAATCTCACTTGTCTTATATCTGATAAGAGATTAATATCATCAAAATAAGAGATAACAAGTGTTGGTGAGGATGTGGAGGAAAGGGAACCCTTGTGCACTGTTGGTGGGAATGAAATTGGTGCAACCACTATTGAAAACAGTATGGAGGCTCCTCAAAAAATTTAAAATTGAACTACCATGTGATCTAGTAATCCCACTTCTGGGTATATATCCAAAAGAAATGAAAACAGAATATTGAAGAGATTATCTGTGCTTCTATGTTTATTGCAGCATTATTCATAATAGCCAAGGTATGGAAATAACCTAAGTGTCTGTTAACAGATGAATGGATAAAGAAGATGAGCTACATATATACACAATGGAGTATTACTCAGCCATGAGAAAAAGGAAATCCTGCCATAGGACATAGATGGACCTTGAGGGCATTATGCTAAGTGACATAAGTCAGACAGAAAGACAAATACTGTATTATATCATGGGATATAATATTAGGATCACGTATTAGTATTTAGTTTGGAATCTAAAAAAACCAAACTTATAGAAACAGAGAGTTGAATGGTGGCTACCAGGGCCTGAGGAGTGTGGGAAGTAGGAAGATATTGGACAAAGGTACAGACTTGCAACTAGAAGATGAATAAGTTCTGGTGATCTATCACATAGCATAATGATTGTAATTAACGTTATTGTTTTATATACTTGAACATTGGTAAGAAAGTAGATCTTAAACGTTCTCACCACAAAAATGAAATGAGAATTTCGTGACGTGATGAAGGTGTTAGCTAACACTGCAGTGGTAATAATACTGTAATATATGTGTATCAGATCAACAGGTTGTATACCTTAAACTTACACAATGTTTTAAGTCAAGTATATCTCAATAAAGCTGAAAAAAAATAACAGAGGGATCCTTGGTAGAGACTCTAAGCTTAATAAAAGGGACAAATTTCTTAAATCCAGTAAAGTTCTGATTATCCATTAGCTGGAATTTTAGTTGGAACCACTTTATGCCTTCCCCATCCATTTTGGGGGAGGAGGTAGGTAGTAAGGTATTTACGCTGGGAGAAGAAAAAATGACAGGAAGTTTGAGAGTAAGATATTAGCGCCAAACTCCCAAATTCTGGGTAGTTGATCTATAGAATATACTTATAACAATTTATGCATTCTTTGACTCTGAGATTCTATGACCTTGCCTGAGCTTACTTTATGAGGCACTTGATAATGTGTTGAAATGAAGTTTGCAGAGATATTCGTGTCCTTGCCTTTTTTTCCACACCACCAGCAAATAAGTTTCTTTAGGGTGAAGATAGCATTGGCCCTCTAGTATCCATTGAATGGCTTTGAATTTATAGCATCGTTTCTAAGAACACTATACTTTAAGCTCCAAGCAATTAAGTTATAAGCAAAGTTCTGGGAAACTATATTCAGGTAAATTGGTTATTACTTGAAAGTATTACCATCTTCAACTGGCACCTCTTGAAATAAAAATCTCTTTGGAATTCTTGAATGAATTATCCATTGTTGTTTTACTTATACAACAAATTCATAATCTGGTTACCACTAAATGTTAAATTGCATGAGACTTTTCAAAGGCCCAAAGAAAAGAATTCCTGGGCCCAGTCATAATTATTATTGTGAATGCAGTCCTCTAAAATAAATGTTAATACTTTAATTCACAGCAGAGCTGTACAATTTTTAGTGAAATAAAGTACAACCAAAATAAAATGTCATATAGTTAGAATCATAGGTTGTGTCACATTTTCAGACTGACTTCTTTCACTTAGGCATATGTATTTTAGGTTCCTCCATGTCTTTTCATGACTTGATAGCTCATTTCTTTTTATTGATGAATAATATTCCATTGTCTGGATGTACCACAGTTTGTTTATCCATTCAACTCTTGAAGGACATCATGGCTGCTTCCAGTCTTTGGTGATTCCCTAAACATTCATGTGAAGGTTTTGAGTGGGCATAAGATTTCAGCTCAATTGGGTAAATACCTAGGAGTGTGATTGTTGGATTGTATGTTAAGACTATGTTTAGTTTTGTAAGAAATTGCCGATTTTGTCAGGTTTTTGGATTTCAGCCATTCCATTAAGTGTGTAGCAGTATCTCCTTGTTCTAATTTACAGTTCCTAATGTAGTATTGGGTTTAGCGTCTTTACATGTGCTTATTTGCCCTCTGTAGATCTTCTTTGGTTAGGTTATTTGTTCACATCTTTTGACCTTTTTTTTTTGCGGTACACGGGCCTCTCACTGTTGTGGCCTCTCCCGTTGCAGAGCACAGGCTCCGGACTCATAGGCTCTTGGGCCATGGCTCACGGGCCCAGCCACTCCACGGTATGTGGGATCCTCCCGGACCGGAGCACGAACCCGTGTCCCCTGCATCGGCAGGAGGACTCTCAACCACTGCGCCACCCTTTTTGACGCAGTGGTTGCCCTTTCTGACCATTTTTAAATTGGGTTATTTGTTTTCTTATTTATGAGTTTTAAGAGTTCTTAGTACATTTGACCTACCAAACCTTTATCAGATATGGGTTATGCAAAGATTTTCTCACAGTCCCTGGCTTGTCTTTAGTTTTCTTAATAGTGTCTTTTGTGGAGCTGGGGTTTTTAATTTTAAGAAAGTTCAGTTTATCAGTTTTTTTCTTTCATGGATCATGCTTTTGATGTCATAGCTAAAAACTAATCCTCAAATAAGATCACCTTGATTTTCTCCTATATTATATTTTAGAAGTTTTTTAGTCTGTGTTCTACATTTAGCTCTAAGATACACTTGAGTCAGTTTTTTGAAAGGTGTAAGATCTAGGTCTAGATTTATTTTTTTTTAATGCATGCGTGTCCAAGTCTTCCAGCGCTATTTGTTGAAAAGACTGTCATTTCTCCATTTTGTGCAGTTGTCAAAGCTCAGTTGCCTATAATTGTGTGGATCTGTTTCTAGACCCTCTATTTTATCCCTTTGATCAAGTTGTCTATTTTTTTCTCCAGTACCGTGCTGTCTTGATTACTGCAGCTTTGTAGTAAGTCTTAAAGTCAGTTAGTCTCAGACCCTTTTTAAGAGTTTTCTCTTTGCCTTTGGTTATAAGCAGTTTTTACTATGACATGCCTATGTATGGTTGGGTTTTGTTTGTTTTAATTTATCCCTTGCTGGGGGCTACTAATACTTTATGAATCAGTGCTTGATTCTTTTTCTATAGATTCTGGGGACTTCTCAGGTATAATGTCTTTAAGTATAGATTTTACTTAATTCCCTCAGCCCTTTCTGAGATGTAATGTATGACCTTTATACTATATGCTCTACATCTCTTATGTTCTTTCATATGTTGTTCATCCCTTTGTCATTTTATACTTTCTTCTGACCTATCTTCCAATTTATCACTTCTTTGTTTGGCTGTGTTCAACCTGCTTAAACCCATTTTTGACTTCTTATTATTGATTATTGTAATATTTAGTTGTATATTTTTAATTCGGTTCTTTATTTAATGGCTTTCAGTACCCTCCTGGAATTTTCAATCTTATCTGTTATTTCTGTGCATATGCCAAGCATAAAGTCTATGTCTGATGATGCCAGACATGTTTTTGCATGGTTTGTGAGCTAAGAGTAGTTTTTACATTTTTATAGTAGAAAAAGAAGGAGAGTATACAATTGAGACTGTACGTGGCCTACAAGTCTTAACATATTTATTATCTGGCTTTTTACATAAAAAGTTTGCTGACCCCTGAACTAGATTGAGATTCTTCATAGATCTGTTTCTGTTGTCTTAGTGATAATGTCTTATCTCCTCCTATATCTGATTAGTTTTGATGTGGTATTAGACATTGTACCTGAACAATTGTACAGTTAATTTGAGACTAAGATATTAAGTTCTTCCAGAGAAAATTAAATTTGTTTCCAGCAGGCAAACACAGGGACTAACAATCTTTAATCTCCCTCGTGCAATCACAGAATGAGATAATTCAAAAGTTGGCTTCAGTATTTTGGAGCACTGCTTTGATTTCTGCTTCTCTCTTATAGTATAACCCTTTGAAGTCCCAAACCAAAGCTTGGGGACTTAGCAGAGATCTCATTCTTGGGGTTACCTGACAGCTAAGTGTGTGGAAATGTCTCAACTGCCTCTCAGCTAGCAGGCATCTGCTTCTGTTAGAATTGGCAGAAGAAGAAAAGTGACCCAAAATGTCATGCTCATCTCTGTAGATTTCCACCTTTTCTCTGGTCTTAGCTTCCTAATTCTTTTTTTGCTGTATTAGTAAGCTGTGGCTTTCATACAGGTACTTTTATTATTTTTTAGAGCTCTTCTAGTTCTCAGTGAGAAGGTTGGTTCACATTACTTTGACAATCATTATTGGAAATATAACTCTCCTCTTATATTTACTTTGCTTATGAATAGTGAAATGCTTTTCTACATTTTTTCACTTCTGCTTTTTTTATATTTTTATTTCAGATAGCCTCATTATTTCCCATGTATGTTGTGGGGTACATTGAGCCAAAAAAATTTCGGAAGATCATCTATATGAACATGGTGACAGTTTTTTGAATATCTTTATTGGAGTATAATTGCTTTACAATGTTTTATTAGTTTCTGCTGTACACCTGGTAACATTTTTAATATTTATAAGTCATATATTAAAATAAGATCTCAGGGTTTATAAAATAGAACTGACTGTTTTATATACCTCCTCTCAAGTAGTATTTAATACATATGATGTTGCTAATATTTAGAAGGATAACTGAATGCCATATTATAGCAACTATACTTTCAACTAGACTGTAGACGTTTTGTATTCTCTGAAACTTTAAAAAAATTTTTTTTTATTATTATTGTCACTACTTTTGTAACTGCCTTTTCTCCCTGAGACCTGAGATTTTTAACACTTTGCATGAATTTGACACTCTGTGAAATTTGTTTTTGCATTATTGTTTTTTTATATTAGTTTCCAAACACATATCCCTTAAGAAAATAAAAATCTTTTAGGTAAGAACATAAAATAAAGCTTCCTTAGTGAGGAAAATCCTCAAGTAGTTCAACAAAAATCAGATTAGAAAACTAATAGTTATAAGTAAGTCTTTCTTATTATATTCCTCCATTATTGAGTTAATAGAAACAATAAGATTTTTCCTGTTTTCTTTGTACCAAGTTAAAAATAGGGGGAAAAAAATTAAATTCTGCTATATAATATTTATGGTGTTGAAAATAATTAGAACCTATCAGTGTGTTGAAATTCTGTTATCACTTGGTCAGGATGTATTTATTAATCTTTTTATGCAAATAAAGTTTGTATTGGAAATGAGTATATCCCTGTAGACAAAGTATGCATTATGCTATCTATCTAATAACTATAAAATGTATTTATTTTCTGCAATTTTCAGGTTTCGGTTCTCCTTTGTTTTGTATTGATGTTTGGAAATCCAATGTATTTATCTTCTTATTATTCTTCGTCTCTATTGATGACATTGGTAAGTGTTTGTTAAGCTTGTGAAGATTTTTTTTTAACCTGTCAAATAGCAAATTTACCCATTTAATATAGGTTAAAGAGAATAAATAAGGCCCTTTCTGGATTACTGCCCACATGAAAAATTTTTCCCAGATAATGCTTTTTGTCTATCTAATCCTTGCAAAATCATATAAGCAAAGTTTACCTTTTTAAGGCAATGCCCAAGTAAAATTTTTTTAAAATAATAAGGTAATAAGACTTACTTTTTAAAATATGCCATAATTTATGACAAAAATTAGTTATTTCCTTCTAAGTCACTTCAGTAGGCTAAATACTTACTGCAGTGACACTGCCATTGCCCAAAACGTTTTTGGAACTCCTCTGAATTGCCTTCACAGACTCTGGCACATTCTTTTGAATGTCCTCAGTGGTGGCAAATCTTTGTCTTTTAAGGGTGGATTTGATTTTTGGAAATGACCAAAGTCTTGTGAATAAGGTGGGTGATTGGGCTGGGTAATACAGATCTTGATCAAAATATAGTGTGACAACAAAGTAATAAGACCTATTTTCTTGCACACATAAGGAAATAATCTCTAAAGATAGTTTATAAAGAGGAGTTCCAAACTGTTTTGAGCAGTGGCAACATAATTATAATAAGGGTGTAGTTTCTTCATGTGACTTACTTTCATGGAATAACACTCATTTAGAGTTGTATTTGGAATGGTGGTTCAGTAAATCAGTTTTATTACCTTATAGTCACACTTTCGATATTCATAAGCCAGAACCTGGAATGTTCTCCACTGGAATGTTCCTAGAATATTCTCTTTCCACAATGACCAGAAACGATAACTTACTACAAAAATACCAAAATATAGCACTTTTCCATGTGTGGTGCATTGACTGAATCTTTTGAGATTTAGGTTTTTAACATTTTTTCTCCCCATACCTTTTTTTTTTTTTTTTCCTCCCAGTAAGTAATTTCTTCTCTTTATCTCTTCCAAAAGGCATAGGCCCTTTCTTTTCAACATTTTGTCACACTTTTTCAGTATTACAAAGTAGATGACTTGTAATAGTGTGTTCATCAACATCTTTCTATGAAAACATTTTTTATTCTAAAATATAGCACATATGTAGAAAACCTCATAAAACCAATGTTTTATGTACTTAGTTCTGACTAGTACTGATAAGTACTGATTAATGGACTATTACTTGTCAAACATCCTTAAACTACCGTCAAGTCAAAACTAGAACTTTTCTAACCATTCTAGAAGCCTTCCATGTAACCTGCCTCAATCATAACTCCCTTGAGCTGCTCTAAAACAGTAGTGACTATCTTGACTATGGTGATCACTCCAGGCTTTTCTTTATAGTTTTATCACTTAAGTTTCTATTATTTATAGGTTTCCAATATGTCTCCCTGTTTTTTTCCCCGGGATATTTTTTTTTATCTGGGTCACTGAACATGTGAAGGGTTCTGTGGTCTAGATTTTGCTCCTGAGTCCTCATGGTGCCGCTTTACATCTTCTTTTGTCTTCTGTATTTATATACTTCTGTATTTAATACTTGGGTCTAAAACCTGGACGTGTTCAGATTTAATTCCTTTGGCAAGTATATAGTATTGTTCTTCAGTCAGGAGTCACATATTTATCTGGTGCCTCTCTTTTTATGATCAGCATTTAGTACCAGAACCATTAATTCAGTAGGGATTGCAAAATGATGATATTCCAATCCCTCCTTTACAGTTCACATTTCATATAGGAAAAGTAAAGTACATTTCTAAATGGGGGGAGTTGGGAGGAAGTAGAAAAATATTTGAAGAAATAATGACCAAAAATTTTCCAAATTTGATGAAAATTATAGTCTCAGAGATGAAGAATAACAGTAAATCTCAAATACAAAAAACATAGAACTAGAGTAAGCATATTATCAAATTGTTTAAGATCAGCAATAAAGAGAAAATCTTCGGAGTAGCAATAGAATTAAGACATGTTAAATACAGAAGAACAAAGAGTAAGGATGTCAGCAGATTTTTCATAAGAAAAAAGTGCAAGCAACAAAACAGTCAAGAAGCATCTTTAAAATATTTAAAAATACTATCTATGATTCTATATCCAGCAAACATGTCTTTCAAAAATGCAGGCAAAATAAAGACTTTATGACCTTTATGTTAAAGGAGGTCTTTCAGATGAAAGGAATATAATATTAGATGTCAGTCTGGCTCACACAAATGAAGAGCCCTGGAAATGGTAGCTAAAGGTTTTCCTACCATCTGTGACAGAATGGATAGACCTTGAGGGCATAATTATGTGACATAAGTCAGAGAAAGACAAATACTATCTTTTCATTTGTGTCTTCTTTAATTTCTTTCAGCAATGTATTCAGTGTGTAGGTCTTTCACCTCTTTGGTTATGTTTATTCTTAATATTTTCTTTTTGAGACTATTGTAAGTGGGATTGTTTTCTTAATTTCCTTTTTAGATAGTTCATTGTTAGTGTATAGAAATGCAACATAGTTTCTTTGTTGAGTTTGTATCCTGCTACTTGGCAGAACTTGTTTATTCTAACAGTTTATGTGTGTGGGTGTATGTAGAATCTTTAATGTTTTCTACATATAAGATCATGCCATCTGTGAACAGAGATAATTTTACATTTTCCTCCTCAATTTTTCTGGTTTACCCATTTAGTTGTTTTCTTTTTTGCACTAATAAATATTACATGTATATTTTATTATACCCCCTCCTACTTACATGAAAGGTAGCATACTATAGTCTTTTGCATTTTGATTTATCAACCTATTCTGGGTATCACTTAGCAACCTTTCATAGATATCACTCCATATCAGTTCACGGAGATCTTCATTCTTTCTTGTAATTTCATAGTAAGTATTCCCTTCTGCATATTCCATAGATAATTCAACCATTCTCCTAAGTCTGGGCATTTTGTTTATTTCTTGTATTTTGCATTTACAAACAATTTTGCATTGTGTAATCTGTTACATTTATATTTTCCTATTGTTGGAACTTCAGGAATCCTGGCTCATCTTGGGCCAATTAGATGATGCAAAATTCTCCAAATCTTAGTAATACACAGGCCTAAGATTTGTTTCTCATTGGAGCTTTTTGTTTTTCCAACACAAACTTGGGAATAAACGAATACCTTACCAACTTGTAGAGATAGTAGGAGGAGTATTCCTAGTTCCTGCACGTCTTTGTCAGTTCAAGCTGCTATAACAAAAATACCAGAATGGGTGGCTTACATGGAAATCTATTTCTTAACAGTTCTAGATGCTGGAAAGCCCGAGATCAAGGTGTCAGCTGATTTAGTTCTTGATGAGGGCTTTCTTCTTGATTTGCAGACAGATATCTTCATTGTATCCTCCCATGATGGAGAGAGCGATCATCTCTCTCATGTCTGTCCTTAGAAAGGCACTAATCCCATTTATGAGGTTCCCACCCTCATGATCTAATTACCTCACAAAGGGTTCCACCTCTAAATGTGTCACATTGGAGCTTAGGGTTTCAACACAGGATCGGTGGAGGGACGTAAACATTCAGTTGATAGCACCAAGGGTATAGTTTTTGAGGACCCCAGCTGTATGCATGAGTCTTAATTCCAGTTTCTTACCTTTCATAGTCCCAAGTCTTCTGCTGCCCTCCCTTTTAATACAAGCCCATAGTTGTAACCTTGTTCTACAGACCTCCTTAAAAACTGCCAACTCCTTAAAAACTCTCCTAATTAATGTTTTGCTTTTTAAAAATCACCATCTTTTCTCTGGCACCTGGAAAGTTCCTTTTCTTTCTTATAAATTCAGTTAGATATATATATATTTTTAAACATTTTAAAATATTTGTGGGTTTGGAGAGGAAGGATTTTCATGTTAATTTAGACCACTAATTTTTCTGGGTAACTTACATGTATGCTTGCATGGACATACCTTTCACACACCATCTATCTCCTCAGAGGAACTGCCCTGCATAAAACATCCCAAGTAACTCAGTAAGGAATTAACTTGATTCTAGGGTCAACTTTCTGGTACACAAAGCATTTGGCTTTCACCCCAAGGAAATTTTCCATGTCCAAATTCAGAAAAATCAACAATTAAGAAGGAAAATGTCTGGTGATAGCCAAGATGGAAGGGGGTGGCTGTGTAACTTTTGAAATGTAATTTTTAAAAAGTTAATTTAATTTGATTGTGTCATTTTATGTCATATGCATTTTAGGTGATAATTCTAAGGAGAAATAAAATTCAAAGATTGGATGCATCTGAACTCCACTTTTGGGTAAGGGTCAACATTTTTAACACAATTTCTTCAAATCCTTTTTTATTTCTATAAACTGAATACAGATAATATGCTTTAAAAATGAATGATTTATAGTTAGTAAATGTTATAAATAGCTACTTACATAAGGTGGGAAACACTCCTTAGCAATATCTACAAGTCATTTTCAAGAAGTTAGTTCATTTATTTCAGCACTACCCTCAGGCCTTTCTTCTTTACTTTTCCTTCTGATATACCCTACTACCTTGCTTTTAATTTTTTTTTCTATTTGCTTTGAGTTTCTTTCTTTACATTTACTAACCTTCTCTTCAAAATAACTCAGTCCGTAGTTCTGTCCCCACTTTCCCTTTTTCTGTTCTCTACATTTATCCATCATCTATCTTTCCTTTGGCTTCCAACTTTAGACTCTTATTATTTTTGTCCTTTTAACATTTTCCCTACAATCTCCCAGTTCCTTTTTATTTCAACTCAGCCACTACCTGATCTTTGTTTGACTTCTTTGCAAATGTACAAATGGATGGCCCATGTTATCTCTATATTTGTATGTTACGTTACAAAGTAAAATAAGTACCTTATTAAGTAGGCACTGCAATGACTAATTCTTGTAGTATCAGACAGATGACATTCTTTTTCTCTAGGTCTTTAATGTACTCCTACTAAAAAATAAAATCTACCATATTAAAGAACTCTGTGATTACATATTATATATTGGTATGGTAAAACTGGAAATGATAAGAGGGTAGATAGCCACTCAGAATATAAACAAACAAAATGGAATGAGTTGCCAGTTTCTTATTGCTGGAAGCATTCTCCCAAACCCTATGGTGAAAATACACTTGTTATTGAATGATATGACCCTTCTAATATTTTGATTTTTTTTCTTCAGAAAAATTGGCAAAGCTTGTTTTTTTAAAGATTAAACCAAGAAATCAACAGAAAATTTAAAGATTTTTATTTAATAATTTAACTCAAAAGGAAGTCAAAATTTTAATTACAAATTACTGAAAAATGACAACAAATAGAGCAGTATCTGTGGATGTTTAGGGAATTCTGCCAAAGTTGTGTTCAGAGGAAATTTTATTGTCTTAAATATTTTCAGTTTTAGACTGCAAAGAATAAAAAGCTTTCAAGTCAAGAATTTCAAAGAAACAAAAATCTAAGGAGAGAACAGTTAAGATATGTTGAATGTTCAGCTTATACTTATGTTTTAAAACTGATATAATTAATACCATCAATCTCTTGCAAAAGGGAGAAATTAGTCATGGTAGTCATCTGAACAACACAGAAAACATTCTGGCTTTTTATGTCTTTTTTCTGGAAGACCGTCAAAAAGAAATAGCAAAGCTATTTTGTGAAATAGCACTTTTTCTTACAAAAACACCTGTTTTTGTAGGAAAAAGGGATAATCCATTCTTGTCAAATTGGGTTCATTCCACGAATGCAAAGATGTTTCTGGAAAATTTATAAATATAAATTGTCACACTAGCAAATTAAAGGAGAAAAATACTTTATGATCATCTCATTAGATGCAGAAAATAAATTTAATAAAATTAAACACCCATTTATGATAAAAACTCTTAGCACAGAAGAAATAGCAGGGAGTTTACTTAACCCAATAAAATTCTTCAGCAGTCATTGGTTTTGCAGGAGAGATATTTGGAGTATTCCATTTATGAAGATCAAGATAAATATGTTTTTTCACATTTTATTAAAGGTTCAAACATGTAAAAGCAAGAAAGTAAATAACAGGATTAGAAAAGAAATGGAAAGAAAAATCAAAATTTATTATATCATTATTTACATGTAAAACAAAATAATTATAAGAAATTATAAAAATTCAATAACATGGCTAGGTATAAGATTAATATTCAAAAGTTAATTGCATTTCTGTTCTTTGGCAACAAACAAAAAACATATTTTTGAAAATATGCTATATATATTAGGGAGAAAAAAATACATAGTATCTGAATAAATCTAATATTTTTGAAATTTAAATTTTTTTTAAATGTGTAAAAGCATTTATCATGTAATAAGGATAAGGAAAATTACAACTTGCATGAGAAAAGGCAATAAAGAGATGTTAACACCCAGATGAGTAAGATGTTGGGATTATTTGGCAAGAATTTTAAAGCAGTCATCATAAAAATACTTCAGTGAGCAATTATAAGTACTCTAGAAGCAAACAAAATATCACCAAAGAAATCAAAAATTTTTTTTAAAAAAAGGAATAACTTGGGAATTTAAAAAAAAATAATAACTTGAAAAATACTGTAACTGAAATAAAAAACTCAGTGAATGAGCTTCATAGAAGAATGAATATAACAAAGAAAGCAATCAGTGTACTTGAAGATAGAATAATAGAAATTACCCAATCTAAACAACAGAGGAAAAGTAACTGGAAAAAAATGATAGAGGCTTAGGGAAATGTGGGACAATAATAGAAGATTTAATATTTGTATTGTGCGAGTTCCACAGGAGAGGAAAAAGAGTGGGGCTGAAAAAGTATTTGAAGAAGTAATGGCGTAAAATAGATAGCTAGTGGGAAGCAGCCACATAGCACAGGGAGATCAGCTTGGTGCTTTGTGACCACCTAGAGGGGTGGGATAGGGAGGGTGGGAGGGAGGGAGATGCAACAGGGAAGAGATATGGGGACATATGTATATGTATAACTGATTCACTTTGTTATAAAGCATAAACTAACACACCATTGTAAAGCAATTATACTCCAATAAAGATGTCAAAAAAAAAAAGAGAATTAATGGCTGAGAACTTTCCAAATTTGGTAAAAGACGTAACTCTATAGAGTCAAGAAACTGAGTTAATCCTAGGTAGGATAAAGCCAACAAAATCCATGCCAAGACACATCATAATTCAACTTCTGCAAACGAAAGGCAAAGAAAAAGTCTTGAAAGCAGACAGAGGGAAATGATGCATTACCTTTAGGGCAAAACTGATTCGAATTTACAGCAGACTTCTCATCTGAAACTATGGGAGCCAGAAGGAGGTGGCACAACATTTGTCAAGTGCTGGAAAGAATTGTCAACCACAAGTTATATATCCAATGAAAGTGTCTTTTAGGAATGAAGGGGAAAGTAAAACATATTCTCAGATGAAGGAAAACTAAGAATTTGTTGCTAGCAGAGCAACCCTTAAATAATGATTAATAGAAATCCTTGAAACAGGAAGTAAATGATGAGAGAAGGAATGTTAGAACATCCAGAAGAAGTAAAGGACAACAAAATGGATGCACATAGGTCTAAATATAATAGACTGTTCTTCTCTTGAATATTTCCTTTCATGTGTTTTTGTTTATTTTGTTGTTCTTTATCTAGATATTTGAGTCCAGCTTTTCATTTATTTCCTTTACTCTCATTTTTATTGATAAAAGTTTATGAGGCCATGAATTTTCTTCTGATCATTGCTTTACATGCATCCCTTAGTTTCTAATATGTAGTTTTCATAACCATATTTAAAAAAATTTTTTTTTGAGTTTGTATTTCCCTTTCACTCAAGACTTATTAATAGGAGGTTTAATTTCCAGGAGGAGGGCCTTTTGGTCTTCTGACTTATATCTATTTTGTTTATTTTCTAGATAATTCAAGGAAGTGCTTGGTTTTGTGGGACAATCATTCTGAAATTTCTGACATCTAAAATTTTAGGTGTTTCAGACCATGTAAGTACTTTCTGGTTAAAACATTAGAATTTATATACATATTTAGTTGGATGAAGACTTTGAAACCATCTATTTTTAAATGAAACCTCTTCATTTTATAGAGGTTAAGTGCCTTCTTCAAGGTCCCAAACTAGTTATTGGCAGAGTCAGTACTAATACCCTGCAGATCTTTTCAACCCACTAAGAAGAAAGTATATCAATGAATGGTGACTTAGCCTTCTAGGAAAAAAATATGTTAAGTAGTTGTTTATATTTTGGTTAAAATACAAGTAGTTTGTTTAATAAGTTATTAATTCATCGTAAATGTTAACATATGAAGAGTCTGTACTCAGCTTTGCAATATAGAAGTCAAGATCTCAATATAATTTTATTTATAATTATAGATTAAAATTAAGATGTGATTTGATATTTTTAAAGTTTTTCTTGTATAAAGAGAATGATAAAACTTCTCTGTCTTTTCAACTTCTGGAAAATATATGGACCACATCCCTCATGCATGTTGTTTCTGTCTGTTTTAAGGCTAATACCTCAAATAATGGCCCTTTTCAAAGCAAAAGTTCCTATTTACTAGTTTGTTTTGGGAATAGAAAACAATGCATGATTTTAACTTTTGATTTTTCAGCACTCTCTGTTTGGATATGAGGATAGATGAGTGTATCATACAATAATCTACTCTGAAATTTACCTTATGTAGTACTCTCCAATTAGGACTCTGTCTAATGCTGAAATTGCTTCAACTTTAACAAGGGATTATAGATAGTTACTCTCTTAAAATGTCAAATGCTGTCACTATCCAGGAGAATTGAGTCTGCATACATGTTCATGTTAAATAAAATTTCAAAATGTAAGGATTTATTTGCCATTTATTGTTAGATCTGCAGAGTGGTTTATTAGGTTTATTTGTTGTTCTTAAATTTTTATTCTGTAGGGGGTATACATTTTATGGTAAATTTATTTAGGCCTCCTAAGTTATTTATTAAGTTGGTCTGTTATTTTCTTTCTTGCCTTGCTCCACATTGTCACCCAGCTCTTTACAAATCCTAAGACACACACATACACACACACACACACACACACACCCCTTGGTATTCTTAAGTGATTTCTGTGTGACAACTGTGAGAAAGACTTGAAACTAAAGTGGCTTGGTTAAATTGTAATTAGTCACCAGGCCTATTCTAAATTAGAAAAATAAAGTTAACTGTAAATTATCCTTGCTACTGGTAGATAAGGGGAATCATGAATAAATGAAAACCATAGATAATCATCAAAGTTGATATATAATAATTTATGTCCTTTTAAAGTAGTTTGAGTTAATGTTTTACATGCCAAATATTTTTCTTTATCTGGCCTTCTAAGAATGCAGTATAAAAACAATTGTCTCACCAAAGTAGGTAATAAATAATCAGTAGAAAATAGCTCTACATTGGATTTTGTTGGTGGTGTTTATTTTAAAGTTCTTTGAGATCAAGTAACTAAATCAAAGGAGTATGTATAGTTGTTGTAATTCTCTTGAAGAATAACTCTCATAGTTAATGGCTTGAATGTATGTCTGAAAAATTCAAGAAGCACCAAAAATTGTGCTTAATGTATGAGGCTTTGTGAAAATGACAGTGCATGGAAAATTTGTTCATGATTTACAATGTGTGGTGAAAGGAGTTAACTGAAATTGGTTTTTTCTTGATAAGTGATCTGATTATAAAATCTCATGATCAACTGCATGGTGGTTTGTGCCCAGCAAATGTTGATTTTAGCTCATTCTTTACATTATCACCTTCTCTGCTTGCTTTTTCTGAACTTCTTTTTCCTTTTCATTTCTCTTGCTATTTCTGTTTGTTTTCAATTTTCTTCATAATTCAGCGCATAATGCGATTCACTGTATTTTTTGTTTTTTTGGAGAGTCATCCATGTACCTTGGATTTATCTTCTCTGTAGACTTTGTTACTATTACATCAAACCAATTATTATTAACTATAATTATTTGTGTAATTTTAATTTGTTTTTATTTTCTTCCAGATTGGCCTGAGTGACCTTATTGCAGCCAGAATCTTAAGATATACAGATTTTGATACTTTAATTTACACCTGTGCTCCTGAATTTGACTTCATGGAAAAAGCGGTATGAATGTTTCTTTTTTTCTCCTCTACAGGTATGATGGGTTCTTGCTCTTAAGTTTTCCCTTTAATCTGAAACTCAAAAGTTTTATTCAGAAACACCCAATTTCCTTACTCTATCATTTTTTTACGGTAACTTTTGCTAATTATATGGCCTTCCTCACCTGGTTTCTTATGTGTAAAATCAGTAAACAATGGCCCCTACCAGGGCAAGTGCCTAACATACTGTATGACCCATAGTCAACTACTGTTACTACAGTTCAATTACTTGTAATAATCTGGGTCAGTTGGAGGACCACTCAGGAAATATAAACCCAAATTCTTGTTTTTGTTTTTTAAAAATTCAGGGTTTTTTTCACTTAATATCCCAAATATTGCAAACTTTTAAAATAAGACATTGCCAAGAAAGATATACTACTAATCATCTATTATTCTCTTATCTATCCAATCAGTCATACATTTATTCAAAAACAATTATTGACCACTAATTATCTGTGAGGCAGTTTGTAGTCGGACTATGAAGAGTAAAATTACTTGATTCCTGCCTTCAAGAAATATATGATTTTGTTACATGGTAAATCACTCTTTATCACAATTCATGAGAATTATTTAGCTGCTGCTATTATTTTATTACTTATTCATACTTACAGTAATTACTTAATGTAACTTTCTTCATTGTTAGTTCTGTAGTTTCACAAATGAAAATAATAGAATTTGCAGCCCAGGAAATGATAATCTAGGGCCCAGGGATCAGTAAACACGCATTTTAAACTTACTATTATATAAATAAAGCAAAGATAAAGCCAAAAGAAAGGAAAAAATAATATCCATAGCTAATTTTAATAGTTTTTATCATTAAAACTATTTGATATATTTGTGTAACTATTTTATATTTTTGATTCTTGTATTAGAACATGAAACTCAATAAATATATAGTCTGTTAATGACAAAGATATCTTTTACCTTTATGAAATCTTATTGTGACACTCAAGTTGACATACATTTTTATTCATTTAATGTAAAATTTAATAAATAATTATTTTGAATAATTTGCTATATTTCAGACGCCACTGAGATACACAGAGACATTGTTGCTTCCAATCGTTATTGCGATTACTTATTTTATCTTTAAAAAGGTATTTAAAATTTTTTTCACTTGCTTTTGGGTTCACGACAAGGACTTAGATTAATGCTAATAGCTCAGAATTCTGTCTTACTTTTAGGATGAACTCTTCCTTCCCTAAAAAACTTTTTTTATTCAGATTTTTCTTTATCTAGTATTATGTGGGTGTTTTTCTGAAAGCCACATTAGAAAAGATATTTTTACTCATTCTTTCGAAAGAAATTTGTCAGTTACCATGTTCTAAGAACTACGTTAACAAAGTAGGTACACTGAGATAAATAAAACAAGCCCAGCCCTATCTTGAAACTCACAGTCTGAGCCGGGGGGAACATTCAGCAAATAATTTCCCAAATGATTAAATAATTGCAATTGTTATAGGTACTAAAAAAGAAAAGTACAATGACCACTTTGGTATCTTTCAAATATAAAGCACATTCAAAAAAGTCTTGATCCATTTTGAGACATGAACAGGAGAAATTTGTATAGCCAGTAAAATATCATTCTCTACTGTTCACTGTGTTCACAAAAAACCAAAATGTTATCACAGTAGAAGAAATAATGTTTAAAATACCACTGGAAGATTTTCTTGGTCTGGGAGTAGTTTATCCAAAAGTCTGGTTAAAGACAGTGGGTCCTCAGTTTTTAGCAATTTTGAACCATCTTTGTTTTTATTGTTTAAAAGTTGTCCTGCCTTAAGTCAGTATGTATTTTATGCTTTTAAGCAGATAGCAATAACATGATTTCTCTACTGTCATACGAAGTGTGGTTCTGTTGAAGCCAGTGTTCTAAATTTAAAGTCAAATTGTCTATCTTCCCTATGTATTTCCAGTTCCCACATTTCTCATTCCTTTGTTTTCACACAGAAGATGAATAATTTATGAGTGAGAAAGACATCTCCCTGTACATCTCTGTTGTTTCACCCTTGATCCAGTTCTCTAGGGACCATGTGGAAAGAGTCAGGATAGATACAAATGGGTAAACTACACACAGGTTTGCTGCTTTCCATTGCTTTGGCCCTACTTAGCTCAAGTTGCATATTTTCTCCACTAGCCTATTTCTCTATTCCATCATGGCAATTTGTGTTATTCTTACAAGGCTCCACTTGGGGGGGGACTAATGCAAGAATTAACTGTTCAGAGGGGAGATATCTAGCACAGGAGAAAATGATAACTAGATCTACTATTAACTATTTTAAAAATAAAGATACAAGATCTAAGACTCATAAACATCATACTAGCCCCCAAACATACCACAGCTCAAACCGTGCACGTGCAGTAGCAGGCGCACTCACGCATGCATTCACGCATGCACACACACACACATGCGCGCGCACACACACACATCCCTGCAGCCATTAAAGCTTAACTCCTTTCTGCATCCACATAAACACCTCAGTCTTTAATTGTCCTATTATGGCTTATTTTCCACCTCAGGGCTACTTCTGATGTTCATTTAACTTTTCACTTGTGTGAAATCACTTCTGAGAAGGAAAGGAGGAAGGCATGTCTAGTATGATTTCCTGTAACACTATTGAATCTTAGTCTCCTATAAATACATATATTCGGTTATCTATACCTTTGAATAGGCTTTTGCTTGCCAAAAAGACTGATCATCTCATTTTCATTATTTGAAACATTCGTCCATGCCAGATGCCCTTGAATCAATGAGAGAAGTTAAAAATTCTAAACTTAGATTTAATTTAACATTAGAGTCGAAATTTTATTACGTATTTTTTTCATCATTGTTTATCTGTGGGTTATAAGCCACATATCATGCAGAGTGCAAAATTTTAAGTTCCCTGTAAATTTCTTAAGTTGTGTGTAATTGCTGCTAAAACCTCTTTGGCCAAAGTTATCTTCCACATTTTTTGCCTTCACTTCTCCCTCTCTCATCATCATCTGGTACACCAGGGAAGTCCCATTTTGATAAGTGCTCTTAAGCCTTCTGTAGCAGTCACTTCAGGCTGAGGTAGATCAGGGAAGCAGATACGCCATAGCTAATTTTATAATAATCAGGAGTTTGAGTGAAGCAGGCATATAGACTGTGTAGATAGAGAGAAATTCCTAATTCGCTTAGAAGGTCAAGATAAAATAATCTCTGAAAGTACCTGGAGGAAGCTGCCTCCTTTGTGGAAACCAATCCCCCACAACCCACCTGCCTCCCAGTAAAATATAAACGTAAACACTGGTAAGAAGTTATCCACATATAAAAAGCTTAGAATTTTAGAGCTGAAAGATTTACTCCAAAACTTTTTTTTTTAATAGAAAAGGAGGTTACAACTTTTGCCTGAGGTAGAGCTGGAACTAAACTGTTTCTGAGGACTCATTTTAACAATAAAAATACTTCTTTCTAGTGGGGGTATTTTTGTTAATGAATCAGGACATTTTAAACATCACTTAATTCCTTAGAAATTTCATCGATTTGATTCTATTCACAGGCTTTTCGTGATATTTTACGTGTCTTATCTGCAAACACTTATCTGAGGTAATTATTTCATAGTTGTTTTTAAACCATACTATATTCAGTTATTAAATAACTTACTGTAATATCAGTTTTTCAAATGAATATACATTAAACTTAAGCATTATGATTACAACAGGAAACATGAACCAAACTTAGATGTCTTCTTAAAAAAAAAGACCGAATGTATTATTCTTATGGCTGTCTCTCTTTTATGCATTTGGACTTGTTTTGAAGGGTTTATATTTGTGAATTAACTCAAAGTTTAAATTGATTTAGTTTAATTTTAATATACCACTACAATTTAAAGTCAGTAAACAGAAGTAAGCTAAAGTTTTATTTTGGCGATTCTTTTTTTTTTTTTGAACTTTCAGAGAAAACATACTTGTTTTTCTGAATATTCATGAAATAACTTTTCCTACATTATTGTTAAAACTGCTTGTTTTATTGCATTTCTTTGTAGTTTTATTAGTCACTAGAATTATGGGATAAATATGAGCAAAATATAACTCAAATCACACTTTGCTATAGGACATGAGAATTGTGAAGAAAACTTCCTTCTGAGGAAAATTTTACCCAGATTACATTTTATATTTGTAGATATGTTCATTAGATGGATTATTTTTAATAAAATTTATTTTAGGACAGCTTTAGATTTACAGAAAAAATTCTGAAGATAGAATAGAGTTTCCATGAACCCTGTACCCCATGCTTATATTTTCAGTAAACAGTTTTGTATGGTAGCCAGAAGAGCTAATTAGAATCTTATGGTTGAAATGGTAACATCTTGTTTGTTGAAATTGTTTCCAAATCAAGAGGGTTAGTAGATCCACTCTACTTTGTTCTGGTCAGATGGAGCCTGGGGGAACATGTCTTGACATTCTAAAAAGAATGTTTTTAGAGCCCTGAAAACTGTTCACTTAAGGAATGCATGAAAAGACCTGGGATATTTAATTGAATAATAGAAGATTGAGGGGTACATGGCAGCTGTCTTCAAACATTTGAGAGAGTATAATGTGGAAGATGACAGACTTGAGGGAGCCAATTGGTGGAAGGAAGATACTTCGCTCAAAGTTAGGAGGTCCTTTTTGGCGATTACATTCCTGAAAGTGATGGCTATGGGCAGAGTCGCCTTTAAATCACAAAAATAATACACTTGACTGTTGAACAACATGGATTTGAACTGCATGGGTCCACTTATTTGCAGATTTTTTTCCCAATAATAAATACTACACTATTACTAGATCTGTGGTTGGTTGAATCCCGGGATACAGAGGGACCAAGTATATGGAGGGCCAACTATAATTTATACTCGGACTTTCAACTGCGCCCCTCACCTCCATGTTGTTCAGGAGTCAACTATATGCTTATAGTAATACAATCAGAAAAAATAGTATATCAAGAAAAGAGGAAATGTTCCCCTCTCTTCAGTGTACTCCTCAATTAGTGCTGATTGTAAGTGGCTTTGTATGTATCATTCCAGAAAACACTTCTGAAAACCCAATGTATTGTTTAAATGATATTATTCTGTAACTTTTATGTAACAGCGTGTCTTGGGCATCTGCCTAGATCTTCCTCATACGTTGTGGTAGTCTCCACGTTTTATTGTTCAGCATCATGAGTGACTATCATGTAATTAGCCATTCCCACATCAGTGGACATTTAGATTATATTTACCTTTTTGTCATAACAACCAGTGCTATGAGTAATTAACATCCTTGTACACATTCATTTGAACACTTATTTCAGTATTTAAAATATTGAATATTTGAAATATTTGATATGGGACTGCTAGACCATAAGGTATGAATTTTTATAATTTGATGGATACTGAGAACTTATAATGGTGAGAGTGTCCATTTCTCTGCATCTCCATGAACACCACTGTTATTAAACTTATAACATTTTCTAACTGATAGTTTTTTTAAAAGTAACTCACCTTACAAGTCTTTGCCAGTGAAGTTTTACATCTTTCCATAAGTCTGTTGGCTATTTGTGTTTCTTTTTTTCTTTTTTTTTTTTTTTTGCGGTACGCGGGCCTCTCACTGTTGTGGCCTCTCCCGTTGCGGAGCACAGGCTCCGGACGCGCAGGCTCAGCGGCCATGGCTCATGGGCCCTGCCGCTCCGCGGCATGTGGGATCTTCCCGGACCGGGGCATGAACCTGTGTCCCCTGCATCGGCAGGCGGACTCTCAACCACTGCGCCACCAGGGAAGCCCTGCGTTTCTTTTTGACCATTTGAAAATTGATTTGTGGTGTCTTTTTATATTATAGACAATAATCTTTTGTCTATTATGTCTATAACATAGTTTATTCTAGGATATCAATATATAGTTTATTAATGGTCATTGCTTTATAGAAGTTTAAAATTTGTATACAATCACAACTGTACACTTGCTCTGTTTTCTGTGTTAACTTCTGTGCTTAGAAACACTTCACATCAAAATCGTAGAAGTATTTCCCCATATTCTCTTTCATAGTTTTCATTTTTTGCCAAATAAATATGTGTATATATAAAGTATATAATACAATGATTTGATATACATATATGTTGTAAAGTGATCACCACAACCAAGTTAATTAACACATCCAACACCTCACAGAGTTACCTTGTGTGTGTGTGAGAACACTTAAGGGCTACGCTTTTAGCAGATGTCAAGTATATAATGCAGTTTTATTAACTATAGTCACTATGCTGTACATTGCTTCCTCAGAATTCCTTCATCTTATAACTAAAAGTTTGTACCCTTTAAAGAACATCACATCATTACCCTCAGTCCCCAGACCCTGGCAACCACCAGTCTACTCTCTGTTTCTGAGTTTGACTTTTTTTTGGTCTTTTTTAGATTCCACATGTGAGTGATACCATAAAATATTTGTCTTTCCCTGTCTGCCCTGTTTCACATAGCGTAATGCCTTCCAGGTTCATCCATGTAGTTGCAAATGACAGGATTTCCTTGTTTTTTATGGGTGAATAATAATCCATTGCATATATGTGCCACATTTTCTTTATTCATAGTTGCCCTAAAACAAATGGACTGCCAGATATTTCTCCAACAAAGATGGGTTTATTGGGGGTCAGCAGAGGATTGCACTTTGAGGTTTATAACCATGGTGAGCCACATGCAAGTCCCTGCACAGCAACGACTTTCATAGAGGGGAAAACGAAGTTGGGAGAGCTATAGTAAACCAAAAGTCCATGGCTTTTCATTGGCTGAATCCTTGCCAGGAAAGAAGAGGAATCCTCCTTCTTCCTGTTGGACTCTGCTGTTGTTACAGGGCATGAAAGTTCCTCCTTCTTGTCTCCAACTCTATTTAATTGAGATTTCTATTTATTATTTTTTTTTACTTTCCCCCTTTTGATCAAGACCTTTCTCTGAAAGCATCATTGATCAAGAGTCAGGTTTTCTAGTTTCAGCAGCTTTTTGTCCCTCAGTGCCAGGAAGGACCTTTCCTGAGTGTAGTGTCTCACATCAGAGGAAAAGTGCACAGATTGGAAACCTATTGAGGTCACATGTGAGTAACAAGGAGGGGTGAGAGGGAGAACTCACAGGCACTTTTTTATCTAAAGTTCATATGTTATCAAGATACTAAATATCTGTGATCATCTGAAGTGTTATGTCATCCTTAAAAGTTTGATGACAAACTTCCAACAGTCCTGGCCTGGGTATCCTGGGAAAGCTGTCTCATCAGATGTCATCTACGTCAGTTCTGGGAAATCTTTACTTTCAAGTCACCAGATGATGTGCAGGTCCAGTCAGGGTTCTATACTTTCTTTAGGTGTGTCGCATGAATCCAAGAGTCTGTTCCTTGGATTCTGGTGGCATAAGGGTTGGTTAGCAGTACCTGATAGGGGTCCTTCCAGCAAGGTTGAAGAGAGTTCTTCTAGAGGTGTCTCTTCCAATAGGTAAAATCTCCAGGTTGCACGGTGTGATGGTTAAGGTTTTTGTCTCCCAAGAGTACACTGTGAAAAGATTGCTCTAATAAAACATGGTTATTTTATTTTATTTTTTAATGCTAATGTTACAGTTTAATGAACTGTGTTTAGTGCTTTACATAATTGATCTTGTCTAATCTTTGTAAAAAAAGTCAGCAAAATAGACATTATTAGCCCATAGTACAGAAGACAACACTGAGAATGGGATTCTTCTACTCAACTGGCAGGTGGAGATTGAGTTTGATGCCAGATCTGACTACCGAGCCAGTGATCTTAACTCTTCACTCTGCTGCCTTTCACAGCCATGTGCTTGGGACTTCAGTTCCTACTTGTTATCTTCACTTCTCCAAATCAGTCCCTGGGTTTTCAGCTAAATCCCACAGCCAAACCTCTGGTTGACTGAAAAAACAAATCAACGAACAACCAATGGGAAATCATCTTGCAATAGGCCAACGGAGATCTTGACAGGCATTTCATCCAAGATTGAAAAATAACCAAGGGTTGTAAGAATTGGATGTCAGCAACAGAATGACATTTTGAATTGAGACAGTGATTTTAGTTTCTTCATGGCATAATGGTAGAAATTATTCTTAAATAGAACACCTCCTAAGATAATATAGGTCAGTAGTTTTTTGTATTCAGGTTTAAGTGCTTCAGGGAAGGTGCCAGGTGACCATCAAGCATATGACCTGAAGCCATCTCCCCACATCCCTTCACAATAACACTCTAATATTTGGTGGCTATAAGGCACTTTTAATTTGGAATCTAAACAATGTCCTTAACAGAAGCCTGTCTTATTTGCAAGGCTCCCTGAAGAAGACAATGGGTGAATTGCATGCTGCCAATTCTGCTTCTGTGGTCACAGCCCAGACCTTGCCATTGCCTGAAACTGCTCCTTTTAAGAAATCCCACCTGGTATCCACATGCTTGCATTCCTCTTCTCCCCGCTCACTAAATCTGTTTGTTTTTTAGCTGCCTCAAGGCGCCAAGATGTCAACTGCTGTAATCTAATCAGCATTCCCGGTTTGCTTTCTGACACAGCCTGGAATCCATGGTCAATCTCTATTATGGTTTCTTATCAAGAATTC